CCCTCAGTCTCCTGTGACTGCCACCCCTTCCACGTGCCGCCCCTGCAGCCCTCTCCACTTTCAGATCCTTGTGGGTAGCTGAGCTCTCCCTCACTTCTGGCATTTTCCAGTGAACTCTGCTTTTGCTTTTGCTGTCACTGTGCAGGTGAATGACTGGCAGGAGGACTGGGTTGTGTTCTATGCCCGGCAGCGCATTCAGCCCCAGATGGACATGGTGGAGAAGGAGTCTGGGGACAGGGAGGCCCTCCAGCTTTGGTCTGCTCTGCAGGTGAGCGGGGCCTCACTGCACGCCCAGCAGCTGCCACACGCCCCTCTTGCCTGAGGTTGGGGAGGTGCCAGGGCAGGTGAGGCCACCTCTGAGTCTGGTTCTGGATGGGAAGCGGGTGCCTGGCGGTGTCCTATCCGCTGCTGCCTGGGCTGGGGGCAGACACCTGGAGTGGTGCTTAGGGAAACATGGGCACTCCTCGTGCATGCTTTGATCAGTTTGCTGAGGCTCCATTTTCCTCCCTGCAGTTAAAGATCCCTGACCTGTTCCGTGACCTGCAGATCATCCCAGCCTTACTCCACGGGGATCTCTGGGGCGGAAACGTAGCAGAGGATTCCTCTGGGCCGGTCATTTTTGACCCAGCTTCTTTCTACGGCCACTCGGAATATGAGCTGGCAATAGCTGGCATGTTTGGGGGCTTTAGCAGCTCCTTTTACTCCGCCTACCACGGCAAAATCCCGAAGGCCCCAGGATTCGAGAAGCGCCTTCAGTTGTATCAGCTCTTTCACTACCTGAACCACTGGAATCATTTTGGATCGGGGTACAAAGGGTCCTCCCTGAACATCATGAGGAATCTGGTCAAGTGAGTGGGCCTTGCTCTGGAAGGGGCCTCAGAGGTTTCTCCACAGTCCTCTTCAGGGCACATTCTTGTTTCTTCACATGGCCAGAGTAGCTTTAGACCAACGCAGTAGCTTATTTCCAAGCCTTGCAAAGTATATAATACCTGAGAGGAAAGGTTTCGTCGTCCCAGCGTTGACCACTTTGTGGGGGTTTGTAGGTAGAGGGAGCCGCGCTGGAGGCAGGGTGTGAACAGAGGGATGTGTGGAGTGTGGGTGACTCTGAGCCCCACTGCCGCTGCAAGGTGGAGAAACTAAGTGATCTCCCGTGGGGCGGGAGAGGGTGTCTGGTGCGCAGGGAGGTGGCCGGTGCTCCTGGGCACTGCTGCTCATAGGGCACCTTCCCGCCGCTCCTCCCAGCTGTCCCGTACGGGAGTGTCTCTGAGCTGCGTGTCTCTGAGCTGCTCGTAGGGCACCTTCCCGCCGCTCCTCCCTGCTCTCCGGTACGGGAGTGTCTCTGAGCTGTCTACGTGGATGCTTCTTGGTTGGCCAGACTTGGGCGTAGACGTGAAACCATCTTACTAAAAGCATCTTAAAATGACCAATTCCAAAATCAAGCATATTCCTGCTTCTTCCTGCATGATCCCTGGGCTCTGCCACAGGCTGAGCAAGTCTGTAAACGGATTCTGGGAGAGACCAAGCCGCTGGCCGAAGGGTGTCCGTGGGTAAATCCAGGAGTCTTCATTGCTTCTGTTAGGACCCCATCTCTGCCGTTTTCTGAAGCTTGCTGAGTTGTCATTCCTTTGCAACATTAAAATACGTGCTGAACTAATATTTTTCCTTCCTTCAGTATTGTAGTAATGAGAAATGTTTCATGAATGGCATTGATGCTAATAAACCCTTTGCGCAAAAATTTGAATAAACTTTCAGTGGTTTCAGTAATGTACAAGATTGTATATTTCTCTCATTTATTGTAATTCAGTATTTAGTTGTTTGCTGAAAAACTTTTGTAATAATATTTTGTGACAATAAACAGGCACCACTAGTGATTTTGTTGTTGTTTTTAGAGACAGGGTCTTGTTCTGTTGCCCAGGCTGCAGTGCAGTGGCATGATCATAGCTCACTGCAGCCTCCAACCCCCAGGTTCTAGCAGTCCTCCCATCTCAGCCTCTCAAGTAGCTGGAACTACAGGCGTGCACACCACACCCAGCTAATTTTTGTATTTTTAGTAGAGACGAGGTTTTACCATGTTGCCCAGGCTGGTCTCGAACTCCTGAGCTCAAGCAATCCTCCCGAGTGCTGGGATTACAGGCCTAAGCCACCATGCCTGACCCAACTGCCCTGCCCTGCCCTGCCTGTCAGAGTCTCACTCTTTCCAAGCTGGAGTAGTGCGATGGTGCGATCTCAGCTCGCTGCAACCTCCGCCTTCCACCTTCTGGGCTCAAGCAGTTCTCATGTCTCAGCCTCCCGAGTAGCTGCAGTAGCCGGTGTGTCACCATGCTGGCTAATTTTTGTATTTTTAGTGGAGACTGGGTTTCGCCATGTTGCCCAGGCTGGTCTCGAACTCCTGAGTTCAGGCAATCAACCCGTGTCAGCCTCCCAACTGTTTCTTTTTAAGATAGCGTCTCGCTCTGTCACCCAGGCTGGAGTATAGTGGTGCGATCTCAGTTCACTGCAGCCTCTGCCTCCTGGGTTCAAGGGATTCTCCTGCCTCAGCTTCCCGATGTAGTTGGGACTACAGGTGTGTGTCACCACACCTGGCTAATTTTTGTATTTTTAGTAGAGACGGGATTTTGCCATCTTGGCCAGGCTGATCTTGAACTCCCTGGCCTCAAAGAATCTGCCCGCCTCGGCCTGCCAAAGTGCTGGGATTACAGGCCTGAGCCACCATCCCTGGCCCAACTATTGCTTCTTTAAAAAACTCTTTTTAACCTTGTCTTTTTGTTAGGCTAAAAGGATAGCTCAGAGCTTCAAAGAGCAGGACTAGCCTAAGAACTGTCTGTGATATTTGGCAGAGGTGCAGCGTAGCTGCTATTCTTACTCACCTGTGGAAGACGTTAAAGGGAGAATGAAAGTAGCTGTAGAATTGCCTTCAGGGGAAGAAGCCATGTTGTGAGCTTGGCGGACACCTGGTCTGAGGGTCACCCAGGGTGCCATGAACTGGGCTGAAGGGGATGGATGGATGACTTCTCTTGTTAGCTTGTTTCTGTTGTAAGTCAGGGCCCCTCAGCAGAACGTAGAACAACCGAGCTCCTTTAGAATGCTGGTTTTTGTGTGGAGTGAGGAAGGACCATGAGTCTGGTTGTCAGTTTCCAACCTGACAGGTCCTAGACTACCGTTTGCCAGGACTGCAGGTTGTTTACTTTGACCCTGGGAAAAAGATAACTGTTCCCAAGAAAAGTGACGTCCCAAAGCGGCGCCATCCCCACGGCAAGTGTGCCGCTCATCTCCCCACCGGGTGGGTCTGTCCCGATGGGCACGTGTGGCTCAGCTCCCCACCAGGTAGGTCCATCCCGACGGCACCTGTGCTGCTTGACTTCCCACCGGGTGGGTCCATCCCGAGGACACCTGTGCTGCTTGACTTCCCACCGGGTGGGTCCATCCCGAGGACACCTGTGCTGCTTGACTTCCCACCGGGTGGGTCCATCCCAAGGGCACCTGTGCCCCTCGGCTCCCCCCACCGGGTAGGTCTGTCCCGATGGGCACGTGTGGCTCGGCTCCCCACCGGGTGGGTCCATCCCGTCGGCACCTGTGCTGCTTGACTTCCCACCGGGTGGGTCCATCCCGAGGGCACCTGTGCTGCTTGACTTCCCACCGGGTGGGTCCATCCCGAGGGCACCTGTGCCCCTCGGCTCCCCCACCGGGTAGGTCCAACCGAGCGATGCAGTAGGTTTCCAGGAGGGTTTTGGTTTTGGCGGCTGCCAGGCCTGAGGCCGTCCACAGAGTCCACAACTGAGGCCGTCTGGGAAGCCTGGGCTCCTTCCCTCTGTGGTGAGTCACGTAGGAGCAGAACGGCCGTCGGGCCGGGAAACGGGATGGAATGTGGATCCGTTCAGCTTTAGGGAATGGGAAGAGAAGGCTGGACGTGCAGCTCATACCTGTAATCCCCGCACTATGGGAGGAGGCCGAAGCAGGAGGATCGCTTAAGCTCAGGAGCTTGAGACCAGCCTGGGCAAACAGTGAGACCTCATCTCTAAAATAAATAAACAAACAAATGGAAAAGAAGAGTCTCCATTTCCTGTTCTGTATTTCACAGGAACCATCAGTGTCTGAAACCCCACAGCCCTGAGAGGTGAACGGCTTTCGGTTCCGGATGCTGCTGCATTTGGAGAGTGTGAGGCAGCTTCCCTGGGTTGTTGGTCGGTGGAGGGCTAAACTGGAGGGAATTCCAGGAGGCAGGGAGAGGGCAGGGAGAGGGCTGAGGTCAGGATATTGTTCGGACTTCCTTCATTGAGCCCACACCCCAGGCCTGGGTGACGCCGGCTCCGTGGCCAGGCTCGGCTCTGTCCTGTGGTCTCCCCACACCCTGCCCATGTCTGTGTCAGGCTCCTTTCTCGGATCCTCCTCGATTCCTCCAGCTTGAGGTCCACATCCCACTCCACTCCGTCCACACCTCTCCCCTGGGCTAGTGGTGGGATCACAAGCACGGGTGGTCTCCAAGACCTGACCAGCACAGCAGACCAGGCCCTCTGCTAAGACATCCAGGCAGACAGGAGAAAAGATGGGTGGTACCACTCCCAGAACGGGAAACCAGATGGAGGGCAGGTTCTTTTTTGTTTGCCGCGGAGTCTCATTCTATCACCCAGGTTGGAGTGCAGTGGCACGATCTCGGCTCAGTGCGACCTCCACTCCCAGGCTCAAGCAATTCTCCTGCCTCAGCCTCCCAAGTAGCTGGGATTACAGGTGTGTGCCGCCACGCCCAGCTAAAATTTTTTTGTATTTTCATAGAGATAGGGTTTCACCATGTTGACCAGGCTGGTCTCAAACTCCGGACCTTGTAATCCACCCCCGCCTCGGCCTCCCAAAGTGCTGGGATTACAGGCATGAGCCACTGCGCCTGGGCGATACAGGTCGTTTCAAAAACAGTATTATTTGCACACCATACAATTTATACTACTAATCCTGTAAGAAACTTGGGGGCACTTAACTGCCCTGCCCTTGAATCTTCAACAGCTCTTCACCCCCCACCTAGAGGACTTCCTAGCCTGGTGCCCGCATATCTGTTTCTTCATTCAGGCACCTCTCCTCACTGAGAGACCTGAGCACTCGTACGGTTCTCCGTGTGACGCCTAATATCTGACTGTAGACTCATGAGTTGTAGGAAGGAAAATTACAAGGGGCTTTGAGAAGATAACAGAGAGGACTGACTCTAGACCAAAGTGTTGGAATTCCAAAAAAGAGAACCAAGGAAACAGAGGGAGAACATCATAAAGAGCTAAAGACGGTCCCAGGATTGGAGGACCCACGAGTCCTGTTCAGGGGAGGCCAGGAGACTCACCCTAACACCTCCCTGGGAATTTTTCACTGGTGTCACAGAGAAGACCCTAAAGGCCTGCAGAGATAGAACAGTTTCCACACAAAGAATAAGAACCAGAATGGCCATGAGCTTCTCTACATCAAAACTGGAGCTGGCAAGCCGTGGCACCTCCTCAGTTCCTAAAGAAATGTCTGATCTCCAAGCTGGAATTCGATACCAAGCCAAACTGTCAACAAGGAATAAAGAAATTTACAGACGTACGAGGGCTCACATTGGCCTATCATGAACCTTCTGTCAAGATGCAATAGCAGGGTGGGCTTCAGATGAGAAAAGAAAGCCAGGGAGTGGCACATACCCTTTCTGCAGCTACCACAGCCATTCTCCTGTCCTACCTGCTGTTCTGCGGCAGCCTTGCCACTCCTGTCATGAGGTGGCTGTTTGGCCGGGTGCCATGGCTCACAGCACTTTGGGAGGCCGAAGTGGGCGGATCACCTGAGGCCAGGAGTTTGAGACCATCCTGGCCAACATGGCGAAACCCCGTCTCTACTAAAAATACAAAAATTAGCAGGGCGTGGTGGTGCGCGCCTGTAATCTCAGCGACTCAGAAGACTGAGGTAGGAGAATTGCTTGAACCCTGGAGTTGGAGGTTGCAGTGAGTTGAGACTGCACTCCAGCCTGGGCGACAGAGACTCCATCTCAATCAATCAATCAATCAACCAACTCTCGCAGATGTTGGTCTCATCAAAAGCTGTAGGCTTTATCTTCCCAGAGGCTGCCGACCTCTTAGAAGAGGTGTCTCTACAAAAGTGGGCACCTGCTTGTGGAACAGAGTCGCAGGGTTCCAGCTGGGCCTGGGGAGTTTCCTGCGACGCATCCTGGGAATGCAGAGTCCTGGCCCCGTCCCGGGACCTTCTGGGGACTCGCTGCTGCAGGGCTTCCTCGGGAGACTCGTGGGTTGAAGTCCCTGCCCGGTCCCGGAACCTTCCGGGGACTCACTGCTGCACAGTTTTCTCGGGAGACTCGGCTTCCCCGGGA